CAAGGACAATCTCTTAACCATGTCGGCTTGTATCTTCCGAAGCAAGTATTCACCCATGGTCAATTATATGTGGCTGTCTCCCGAGTAACAACAAGAGAAGGATTAACCATACTAAATGCTGACGAGGACGCAGAAGATCCTACATTCATTAAAAATATTGTTTACAAAGAGGTATTCCAAAATATACGTCCTATGGCTGCTGAGACACGCGAGGTATTTCTTACTCTTTTCCAAACTGTGACATGAGCTTTATACAATCTTACAAATAGTTACTTCATTACAATTATTTCAAAATGTTTGTGCTTCAGGATAACTAACTATACCATTGATGATTCATGCTGGAATGAGCTCTCAATGCCGATGACAATTTTAAACGTCCTGCTTCAGTTGTGCTTATGGCACCTCTCATTGGGCAGTATTCTTATTTTTCTCTTTTCTCCTTTTTATGCCATTTTCCTTATTTATTTGTTAAGTGTCTTTTCTCACCTTTTCAGAAAAGGCGTGACCGGACAGTTTTTCAGTTACAACTTTGTCCAGATAAGTTTTGAAATCTAAACGCTCTAACACTTAATTATGGAATTTGAAACGGTTTTCTATTATTAAAACAGTCACCACCACTATTTTCCCAACTATATCTACAATTTGTGCATCTCATCTTCTTGGTACTGCTTCATGTTGGATGCATCAAGAATATATCTCATATGCTGGTTATTTATTTTAGTACTTTTCGTGAGTGTATTTTTGGACTTTTTGACCTCTTTAAAATCTTTTTAATGTGCAGGTTGATGAAGAATTGAATAGAGTGAATGTGACTGTATAATGGGCAAGTAGTCCTTCCTCAAGTCTATGCAACCTTTCTTCATCGATTTTAAAACCGATTCTTCGTTGCACTTTGTTTTCTCATGATAAATGCATAATTTAGGGGGAAAATATACTTATAATACTAAAAAAAATCAATTATATATAGGTGATTCTAATTATTCTGTTATTTCGTACTTATTTAATTTGAATAATTGGTGTTTGAAGGTTAAACTCATTTGTACAATTCAAGGATCAGGAGCACGGGTAATGAATCGGAAGATTTTACAAAAAATACTATTGGTGTATAATTATCGAATATGTTCACTATGTAGTAACACGATTCAAATTTATTATTTTGTTTCTCATGCGCGATCATGCTTCTAAAGTATTCATTTTGAAATTATTTTGTACATATCCAATGCCTGCCAGGAGAGATTGTATGCCAATATAGTTAAAGTAGTGCGATTGAATGACGCCACTATGAACGCGCAAAGCGCGGGCAATTTACCTAGTAAGTATATAAATAGGAGAACTAGCACTATTTGGTGGGGACGAAACATTCTGTACAAAAAAAAGATATAATCTACTTTCATATTACTCTCGGTCTTAGTTCTTTAACGTTGTTCTCACTCTTGCCATCGGAAGGGATAAGTTCTTAGCCAGGCTTGTAATCTTCTTTAATTTTATTTCATAATCTTATTTCTGCTCTTATTTATTTATTATTTTTGGGTCAAATCGATTCACTTGTCTATAAACCACGATACAAATTTAACTTTACTGTTTTACGAGTAAACAATTTAGCGTCCACCGTGGGGGCATAGACAATAGTATAATTGCGTTCATCCATTCATTCGTTAACAAGTTTTGATTCTTTCCTTAGTAAAAGAAAAATCAGATTGGCAGCTAATGATGTATAACGACCTGCTCGGTTATTTTGAGTATTTTCACTCAGTTCGATAGTTTGAGGTCATGAGTAGCTTCATATAGTGTATTATAACTTGCGTATATCATCGGTTTTGGTCTTCTAGTTGTTTGGAATTGATTTGGAAGAATGATTCTTAAATAGAAAGCTTTAAGTTTGAAGAGTTGACCAAGTTTGACTTTTGTGCATTTGACCTAGGATTGGAGTTTTTATGGACCTGTTAGGTCTAGATGGTGATTTTGGACTTGGGCGTATGCCCAGATTTGCATTTGGATATTTCTAGAAGGTTTCAGCATTATTTGGCGAAAATTGGCAATTTGAAGGTTTGGAAAGTTCATAGGTTTGACCGGAAGTTGATTTCGATGTTATCGGGTTTGGATTATTGTTTAGAGAGTTGGAATAGGTTATATATGTCATTTGAAACTTGTATGCAAAATTTGGGTTCATTCCGGATTGGTTAGACTTGAATTAGACGCTTGGTTTGATGTTTGACGTTTATGAACTTAAGAGATTGATCTTGATCGACGATTCATGATTTTGATGTTATTATGTAAGATTTAAGGCCTCGAGCAGGTCCGTATTATATTTTGGGACTTATTGGTATGTTCGGACGGGGTCCCAAGGGGCTCGGGTGAGTTTCAGATATGTTTGGGTTAAGTTGCTCTCGTTTTTGATGTTCCGACGTCGTCTCTTCAAGCATAAATAGTAATACATTAAGCAAATGATCTTTAAATTTTGTTTTGATTGATGCATTAGATCCGTATCGTATTTACGGAGCAATAGCAAATGAATCGTCGAATTTGGACATCAAATGAGGGAGTTATGCCCATTTTTGACTCGGTATTGATTATTTTACATGATTTCATCTTTGATATTGATATTTAAAAGGTGGATCTAAAAGGAAAATTGGAGGTTTTTGTCTAAACTTTTCTAAAGTGAATTTTTGTGTTTTGCACATCGATTCAGAGTCGGATTTAAGTGAAATTAGTATGGTTGGACTCTTATTCGAATGAGTTGTCAGAATTTATAAGTTGGGTCAGGTTCCAGGTGCGGGACCGGATTTGACCTTTTGGTTGATTTTGAGTAGTTGAGTAAATATTCGACCTTTATTATTTGGGTTTGTTTCCTAAGGCATTATTTGATATTTTTGAGTTGCTTTTGGCTAGTTTCTGACCGTTCGGAAGTTGATTTGCATGGGATGGTGTTTTTAGAGTATTGTTTGTCTTGCTCGGTATTTGTTTTGGCTTATTTGAGGTAAGTATCTTTTCTAAACTTGGGATTGAGGCACTAGTTGCCTGAGTTATTTGTGATAGCTACGTGTTATAGGTGCGCATATGTGTGGGGATTGAGCCCATATGCAAGCACTAGGGTATTTATCCATACTCGGGGGTAGTGCTTAGGCTATGATATGCCTTGAATTGATTGTTAAGCTTTAAGTTGTGATTTTTTTCATATTTGTAACCTTGTTGTGAACTATTCCATCCATATTTGAGGTTACATAGAGGCTAATTCCCTGAATGAACTTGATAATTGCTATTTATGTGATGAAATTGTTGATTGAGCTATGACAACACACTTTGCACATGCCTATACTCTAGCATGTCATTATACCAGTATAAGAGCATGAAATATGATGTTCATTCATCATATATATGTGTTATTTTATATTTGCTTTTGTGTGATATGATTTGGATTGGATGCCTGTGACCACGCCGGGCGGATTATGATATTGAGCATGTGACCACACTGGCAAATTATGGTTTTATGCCTATGACCACGCCAGACAGATTGTGATATTGAGCCTATGACCACGCCGGGCGGATTGTGATATTGAGCATGTGACCACGCCAGGCCGATTGTGTTGTTATGCCTGTGACCACGTCGAGCGGATAGTGATATTGAGCCCGTGACCATGCCAGATGAATTGTGATATTGAGCCTGTGACCACGACGGGCGGATTGTGATCATTGGCACGTGAGTTGTCCATGCAGCACGTGAATTATCCGTGTAGTTGATATTAAGCCTTTGACCAAGTCGGACAGATTATGATATTGAGCCTGTGACAACGCCGGGCTGATAAAGCATTGAATTGGCCGTGCTTGCGTGTGGATATTGATCCATCCCCCTAGGATCGCCCTCTCATGTTTCTGTCTTGATGGTGTACACACAGATTGTGATAAACCATCGGGTTTTTGGTTGATGTGAGATCTGGGAGAGCTGGTTATTATTATTTGGATTGGGTTGCATACCGCAACAGGACTTATTGGCTTATTGTTATTTGGATCGGGTTGCGTGCCACAACCGGCTTATATTTGGTTAATGTATTTCATGTTTACTTGCAATTTTCCTTGACTGTTTACTTGACTTACTTTCACATCTTCCTTATATGCTGGATTGTTGACGAAGTAGAACATTTTAAAATAAAGAATTATGTGCAGCAAGGTGGTTTTACCATAATAGTTTTTTCTTGATTTAATCATATAGTTGTTCTATACTTGTTGGATTTAAGAACTTGCACATGTGATTGGTGAGTATCATTTATAATTCTTGTTTCTTTTACCTCGGCGAGGTTAGTTACGATACATATTAGGTACATGGGGTCGGTTGTACTCATACTATACTTCTGCACATTGTGTGCAGATCTTGGAGCTGATGTTGCGGTACATGGTGGGAGCTGGCATTGAAGATGTAATCGTTGTCCGGATATGGCTACCATTTGTTCTTGGTAGTCTTAGATTTGAGCTCTATTTATGTATATTCAAACAGATGTTGTATTATTTCATACCGGCTTTGTAAATCTAAGTCTTAGTGGCTCGTGACTTGTACTACCAGTTCTAGGGGAGTTGTATAAAATTTTGTTATTTCACTCTTATCATTATCTTTAAATTGTGTTGACTGTTAGTTGGCTTACCTAGCAGGTTGGGTTAAGTGTCATTACGACTAGTGAATTTTGGGTCGTGATATGATGTCAACAATGTCTACAATGTTGGAACAAACAATGAATGGGAAGATGAGTTCTAGCGTGATGATTCAACTAGCAAAACCTGCAATGAAGGTGATGAGGTTACCTCAGTACGTGAAGTCCAGTATCCTTGACATGTGAGGGGAATAACTCCTGATGACGTGGAGGATGAGCACGTTGCTGAAATAGTTAAAATATTAAGAGAACAACAAAAGTGAATATGGATCAACTCTCAAGGCAAGATCGTGTGATGACGGAGTTGAAGCAGGCATTATCGGTGCTTCCAATAATGCTAATGGAAAGGCTCTGGTTCTTCCCAGCATTCCTGCAAATCAAACGGCTCAAAGAACCGATAACAACACTCCAAGGAATGAGGTCGATTTCGACGAAGCCGGAGGGACCGGTAGTGGATCTGGGAACAACAACTTAAATGACCCTTTCAAAATTGGGCTCATGATATTAATGAGAGAAATGAATGAACGAATAGATTAGAACGTGAAGGAGTTTCATGCTCAGATAAATCGGATCCTAGGCACGCCGCCAATGTTAAAGGGTCCAGATTCAAACAAGTATATGCAGTTTCTATTTAAACCAAGTGCGGCACCGGAGTTGATCCCGAAGAGGTTTAAGATGCCACCCGTTTCATATGATGGGAGTTGCCATATAATGAGAATTAGGATCCACAGGAGCACATAACAACGTATACTACGACAGTAAAGGGAAATTACGTTGCCCAGCATGAGATCGAATCAGTTTTGTTGAAGAAGCTTACGAAGGGTGCCTTAACTTTGTATTCCCTCTTACCTGAGCATTCTATTAATTCTTTCAAAATGCATGCAGATTCGTTCATCAAAGCTCATGCTGGAGAAAGAAATGTCCAGGCCAGAAAGGCGGATATATTTAGAATTTCACAAGGAGAATCCAAGTTGTCATGAGAGTTCATGATCCAGTTCCCAAAAGAAAGGATGATGTTACCAACTATTTCGGATGAGTGGAAAGCGAAGGCATTTACAAAGGGTCTCAATCTAGTGAGTTCCGGTGCCTCCCAGAAATTGAAGGAGTACTTGCTTGAGTTTTAGGCAACTACATGGGAAAATGTTCACAATCGCTACGAGTCGAAAAATAAGAATAGAAGATGATCAACTTGGTTCCTCCGCATCCTCCAAAGGATGGGATCGTAATTGGAATCAGGATAAATTCAAAAA